GAAGAAAGAGGAGAAAGGGAGAGGAGGGGGAGAAGAGAGGAGGGGGAAGAAAAGAGGAGGGGGAAGAGGAGAGGAGGAGGAAGAGGGAGGAGGAAGAAGAGGGAGAAGGGGAAAGAGGAGGGGGAAGGAACCTAGAGGGACAGGAGAAAGGGAGAGGAGGGGGAGAGGAGAGGACGGGGAAGATGGAGGAGGGGGAAGAGAGGAGGAAGGAGAAGAGGGGAGAAGGACCAAAAAGAGGAGGCAGAGATGGGTTGGGGCCCAGGCCTGGAGCTGGGAGCTGCACCTCTGAGCTGAACACGCTCAGGTGGGCCTGGCAGGCTCCATGGACCCCTGCTCCATTGCCTTCTGGCTCCAGCGGAGGGGCGACGGTATCATCTCAGTCCCACGGCAGAGGACACGTAGGGGAGGCTTCTGACGGGATGTCGGCTGGGTCTCAAGAGCAGCCTTGGCAAAGTGCAGGGCTTTCCCCACTCTCGTCCTGGACTGACGCACTTGGGCATGGGCGAGGGGGTCAGGGCATTGCCTTCCCTCTGGGTCTCCCCTCCCCAGGCTCTGCTCTTGGGGCTTCCAGAAAGCCACCAAGGAGGCCTTCATGGAGTAAGGCATTACGTCCAGGCTCTGAGGCACACAAACAGAAGGGTCCCTAAGCCCCAGCTCACTTGTGTGGAATTCTTTTTTTTTTTTTAAGACACAGCCTTGCTCTTTCGCCCAGGTTGGAGTGCAGTGGTGCCATCTTAGCTCAGTGCAACCTCTGCCTCTCAGGTTCAAGCCATTCTCCTGCCTCAGGTTCCCAACTAGCTGGGATTACAGGCACCCGCCATCATGCCAGACTAGTTTTTGTAATTAGTCTAATTTAGTAGAGACAGAGTTTCACTATGTTGGCCAGGCTGGTCTCAAACTCCTGACGTCAAGTGAGCTGCCCACCTCAGCCTCCCAAAGTGCTGGGATTACAGGTGTGAGCCACGGTGCCCGGCCTACTGCATGTGAAATTCTAATGTGGGCGGATCAAAGGGGATTTGCCGAGAAGCAAGTGAAACTTAAGCTCCAGGCCCCTTCATTTGTCCAGGTACTTTCCAAGACCTTGAGCTGAATTTAGAATTATAGTTCTGTAAGAAGGTGCCCCAAATTGTAGAGGTTCCAGGACCCCTAAAACCGGGATCTGACTCTGGTATAAATTTTCAACTCCACCTTTTCATCTACATTGAAATGTGGGATATCTACATTCAAATCAGGAGTCACCAAGGTGGGACTCAGAGAGGCCAAGTCTTAAGTCAGAAATATATTGACTTTTGGAAGGGGGACCCACACAGAGAAGGTAGCGAGGGAGTGAGAGGGTGGCAAGGGGAACAGAAAGGGTGGCCGACATTCTTTAGGTGCATCATGCACATACATGCTAAGCATTCTGAATCGTGATCTTGTGTAATCTTCCCAGCAATCTGAGGAAAAGTTGTTCTCCCATTTTGCAAATGAGAATGGACCTCAAAGAAGTAACTGGTCTGCAGAAGTGGAGTTGGAATTGAAGCTCAGGTCGGTGAGCCCTGGAGACCACACTCTTCCCATGACACGTCATGTGCTCAGATGTGTGCGGGAGCTGGCGGACTGGCACAGTGATCGGAAGCATTTTGGTGAAATTACAGTCCTCAGTATCTATAGTCCCCACATGCACAGATTCAACCAACTGCAAGTCAAAAATGTTTGAAAAAATAACAATACAACAATAATGGCCGGGCGTGGTGGCTCACATCTGTAATTTCAGCACTTTGGGAAGCTGAGGCAGGAGGATCACTTGAGTCCAGGAGTTCAAGACCAGCCTGGGCAACATAGTGAAACCCTGTCTCTATAAAAATACAAAAATTAGTCAGGCATGGTCGCAAGCACCCGTAGTCCCAGCTACTCGGGAGGTTGAAGTAGAAGGATCGCTTGGGCCCAGGATGTCAAGGCTGCAGTGAGCCCAGATAGTGCCACTGAATTCCAGCCTGGTGACAGAGAGACTTTGTCTCCTTGTCTCCAAAAACAACAACAACAAACAAAAAGACAACAATAAGAAATACACATTTTTAAAAACAGTACAGAATAACAACTATTTACATAGCACTTACATTGTATTATAAGCAATGTATACTTACATTGTATTATAAGCAATCTACAGACGATTTAAAGTATATGGGAGATGTGTGTAGGTTACATTCAAATGCTATTATTTTATTTTATTTTTTTTAAGAGACAGGGTGTTGCTTTGTCACTCAGGCTGGAGTGCAGTGTCACAGTCACAGCTCACTGCAGCCTCAAACTCCTGGGCCCAAGTGATCTTTTCACCTCAGCCTCATGAGTAGCTGGGACTACAGGTGCACACCACTGCACCCAGCTAATTTTTTTTTTTTTTTTTTTTTTTGTAGAGGTGGAGTCTATGTTGCCTAGGCTGGTCTCGAACTCCTGACTTCAAGTGATTCTCCCAAAATGCTGGTATTACAGGTATGAGCCACTGCACCTGACCCACATTTTATATTGTCTGTTCATCCATGGAGTTAGGGTCCAAGAGGTTCCTGGAACCAATCCCCCACAAATACCACAGCACCAGTGTACTGACGACACTGGTCAGTGACCCTAAAACATTTCTCATGTGACCAGTACATGGATATTAACTGCTTGGTACACTTTGTTACTGATGTACAACGTATGAAATGTCTGTGGTGGTCTCTTTAGTCAGACTGATGTTTTAGTTTTAGTTTTGATTTTTAGTGAATGTGTATAAATCTATTGACATCGATAAATTAAGTTTCACTTGTGATCTTGCAGTTTCTTCATCCACAAGTTCTCTCTCAAGGAGCTTTTAAGAACAAAACTATCACCACCAAGGAGAGGAGAGAGAGTTGATATAGCCAAGGATAACAAATTTCATCTTTCTGCACCAACTCCCATAGGTCAGCAGCAACTTCTTGCAGTCCTGCGTGCGAAGGGACCTCTGGGCCCAGCAACTGTGATCTGTCAGCAATGCCTGCTCCAAGCATGGGAGGGAAGAGAGGCAATTTTTCTGGCAGGTACTTGTCAGCTTCCGGAAAAGCAAAGATAGACAGAGGCCAGGCCCTCCGGCTACAAAAATGAGTATTCCTTTGGGGCCTGTGACTAGACTCAAATGTCCTCAGCTAAGAAGGAGCTGGACTCCTCCCACCCCAGAGTCCCTGGGCGCCTTGTTAGCTAGGGTGGCTCTGGCCATTGATGAGAGAAGGCCAGGGAGGATTAAGACCAAGATTTGAACGTTGGACAGCCAGGAAATTGGCATCACCGTCACCAGAAGTCAGCAGCCCACCTTATGCTCTTCTTGCAAATGTGGCAGATGTTGAAAGCAGCACTTTCCTTTAATTTTCACAAGAAAACATTCATGTAAGACCTTAGTGTATGGGATTTTACTGAAGCCTGGGGCTACAGGGGATCCCATTGCAGCAGTGAAACAGCTTAGGGGTTCTGTGGTAGTCTCCCAAATGCTTACGAATCCACCGTCCTCCCGAAATGGGACTAGAGTGAAGCCCACTTGCCTTGGGTGCAGAATTTAAGAGTGCGCCAGAATTCAAGATGAATAATGTTAATGCAAAAAGTAATGGGGAAAAAAATCAACCATGAACAAAAAATCAAAATTTTAAATAAAGACAGGATCAATTATGCCGATCCATATTGGACCCTGAGGCAAAAGGAGACATCCATGAAACAGATCCCATCTTTATTTGAAATGTTGATAGTTTGTTCATCATGGATTTCTTTTGTTAATTTTGAGTTTTAAAATATGGCATTAAAATACGATTTCTCTTGATGACTGCGATTTTTGGCACCCCTTCAATTATGTGCCCAGGCCAATGCTTCATTCTCCTCACCCCTGCTCTTCTCTGCCCCTCTCCGCCTCTGCTCCCAGCCTCACAAGAGCATTAAAAATGTCTTCCTCCAGTTTTCCCAGGACACTTCAACCCTTCCCTGCCTCTACTCCCAAATACAGCGCCCCATCTCCCAAGACCTGCCACTTTGAAATTGCTCTTGGTAAGGACGCCTCAATGCAGACAGTCAGGTGAAGGCCACATGCACGGACAGGAATGAGTCCAAGAGGGGGTTTTCCCCAGTTGGATGCTTCCTCACATGGAGGGGCTGTCTTTCAGCTACTGTGACCCCACAGGACAGCCCCCAGAGCCAGGAGGAGGCCACAAAGGCGGATCCAGGTAAGGTGTCCTAGGAATTGGGAGGATAAAAATGGTTGTCACTAGACAGGAAGTCAGATACACACGGACACAGAGTGCACTAGGAAGGGGAGTCCCTTCTCTGGCGGCCGGGCCCTCCTCTGGGTCGTGAATATTCTGCAGCTCTGCTTGGCATCCAGGGAGGTGGGGGTGCTCCCTGGGCAGGATGCTGCTGGGTCCGAGGCTGGCCTGGAGGATGAAGGGGGATGATGAAGCCATTCTTGCCTTTACCTCTGGAGCTAGGCGGACTCCCCATGGCTCCTACCGGCCCCTCTGCTCTTTCTGCTCCACCCTCCGTGTCCAGGGGAACCCAAGAGAGCACGTGGGAAGAGCTGGGTGTCTATGCTTCTGCGACTTGGGCTGCAAAGATTAAGAGAAGTCAGGCTCTGGGAGGATGCGCAGCCGTCCAGGAATGGCAGGGAGGCCCGCTGGAGCCTGACTTTGGTCCAAATGGACCAAAGCTTCGACGGAGCAAGGCAGGTGTCCGCGGTGGCACCTCTCACCAGTGGACGCTGGCGAATAATTATGGGAACAACATTTAACAGCAGTGTTTTCTATGCCAGGTACACAGCCACCTTGGCGTGGGTTGATAACCATGCCTATCTCACCGCGGGGCACTGAGCCGACGGCATACCCAGGGCCCCGGGCTCCACGGCTCGCTTATTCGCTCACTCCGTGAAGCATCCGCGCAGGAGCCGGAGCACCAGCAGCCGCAGGGCTGGGCCCGGGGGCGCGCGCATGCGCAGGTCGTGCTCCAGGAGGGGCGGGGCACCGAGCCGAGGGGCGGGCGCCTGGCGGAGGGCAGGGGACCGCCACGCGCTCCGGGACACCTCTGCAGTGACTGAGAACCGACCTGGCAATCCGCGGCCCGGGTGGGCGGAGTCTTGTGTCTGCCGCTGACCAGGTGCGTGACCTTGGGCAAGTCACTGAACCTGCAGGTGCCTCCGTTTACTCGCCTGGGAAATGAGGGTCCTAGAGTCGCCCACCTCATAGGTCGTGGTAGCTCCGGGTAGAACAGGCCGGTGGCAGGCACGGATGCGGGCTCTCTGTGCGGCAGCGCTGAGCGTTCCTGTGGGCGCCTAGGAAGGGCTTTTCTTATTCTTTTTATATTTCCTACCTAGTCTCAGCAAGATGAGACCCAAAGGGATTTCTCCGCCACCCAGTGCTCAGCTTGCTTTTCCTCTACTAAAATCACTACTAACTTTTTGTAATTTGACAGGATACTTTGCATGTACGCCTTCTCACTTGACTGTCACACGAGCCTTTTGAGATAGATAAATTTTAGGATTCTTCCCATTTTCCAGATAAGGAAACTGAGGCTCAGAGATTTAGTGGCCAGCCCGAGGTCCCACAGCTAGAAAGTAAGGAAGCCCGCCGGGCGCGGTGGCTCACGCCTGTAATCCCCGCACTTTGGGCGGGTGGATCACAAGAGATAGGGAGTTGGAGATCAGCCTGGCCAATATGGTGAAACCCCATCCCTACTAAATGTACCAAATTAGCGGGGCGTGCTGGTGGGCGCCTGTAATTCCAGCTACTCAGGAGGCTGAGGCAGAAGAATTGCTTGAACCCAGGGGGCAGAGGTTGCAGTGAGCTGGGATCGCGCCACTGCACTCCAGCCTGGGTGACAGAGTGAGACTCGGTCTCCAAAAAATAAAATAAAATAAGATAAGAAGCCAAGACTGAAACCCAAGTCTGATTCCAAAGCTAGGGTGCTGCTGGCTCGTTCTGAAAGCAAGCATGATGGACATCTTTTAGACATATCAGTGGTGTAAATTCACACTGAAACTGCCCTGCATAATGAAGGATTTTCTATTACTGGGGGCAGTGTGATAATACAGTAATGCTACAGTTATACTTTGAAAAAGAGCCCTCTCCCTTTAGAGAGACACGCTGCAGTCTTCCCAAATGAAAGGATATGATGTCTGGTGCCCATTTGTTTTTAAATAATGGGGTGGGGGCGCACAGATTAAGCAAAACTGGGCATAAACGTTGTTGGAAATGGGTGATGGGCACATGGGTCCATCACATGAGTCTGTCTACTCTTAGTACATGTTTAAAGTGTCCATAATAACAATAAAAATAAATCACGTTTTCTTAAAACTTCTGAAGCTGAAGCACACCCACGTTGCTGGAAGAACTCAATCCCAAAATCTGTTTTCCAGCAACTGAGAACCGACCCCACAGTCCACAAGCCCAGGGGGAGTCTTGTCTCTGCTGCTGACAAGCTGTGTGACCTTGGGCAAGTCACTCCAACTGCAAATGACTCTGTCTCCTCATCTCAAAATGAGGATCACAGGGGTGACCACCTCATAGAGAATGAGACCCCTTGGACTGGATGCTGGGTCCTTGGAAACCACTGAGCCAGAGGTCCCACACCCGGGGCCTGCAGGGCCAGGCAGGCAGCGCCGTTGAGAGGAATGGCAGGTAGGGACAGTGGCAAGTGGAAATGTTCCCTCTAGCCTAATGCTGTGAAGGGGCCACATATTCTTCTTCAAGAAAGGTGGTGAGCTAGCTCTTGACCTGGCATTTCCTGGTTTCTAAAGGTTGGCAACCAGTTCCAATGTAACTGTGAACCAATTGCCTATATGTGACCAATTTGCCTCCAGGAGGCTGGGCTAGCCCGTCTCCTCTTCCCCACACCCTTTGGAGAAGAGGAAACCAAAGCCCAGAGTGAGGAAAATCTCCCAGAGTCTCACAGCGAGTCAGATCCAGCCCTAGCACAAGACATGCATCTCCCCTCCCCTGGCCCACTCCTGGTTCCATATTTCAGTAGTTGGAGGACCTCTCCCGAAGAAGAGACCATGGAGAGACAGAACAAAGAGCAAGCGCCAGATAACAACGTCTAGGAGAATGTCAGTTCTGCTTCTGAACCCAAATTACTGAATATGCCCCAACGAAGGCAAGTGGGGGCAAGGTTAAGCGGGGGAGGGGGAGGCCATCACTGTAGACCTTAAGATCAAACATTTGGGCCAAATGAGTTTTACTTATTGCTTGGCTAGGTGGGTTTACTGAGCAAGTTATTTAACCAGGCATGACCTCTGTTTTCCCATCTGTAAAATGGGAGCATACAAACAGCTTACCCTTTTCTGTTTTATAATGGCATTTACATTTTATAATGTCAATACTACATTTACATTTTATAATGTCATTATTAAAGCTCGAAGCTTCTTATAAATTGTGGTGATGTGCTCAGAGCCTGCAGCCTTGGACAAGCAAGGGGCCACTCCAGTGTATCACTGTTATCACTATTAAGCACTATTATCAACACAAAAATGGAAGAAGAACCAGTGCCCAGAACTCATGGGTCTAAATGGCTGAGCTCTGGAATCTCTCTTTTCAGAAAGCAGCATCTCAGGTGAAGGAAAGAGCATCAAAGATTGGAAAGCAACAGAGACTCATAGTTCTCATAGTTCTCGTCACAAGGCAGAGACAAGCCCGTGGGAAGAAGATGCGTATACACAACATTCCTCTTGGAGCTTTTCTGAGTTAGATGATGACATTTCTAACCCTGTGCCAATAGTGTTTGAAACATCACCCAGAACCAGCGACATGGCAAGAATATGGAGCTACAGAAATAAAATATGCTGAGCATAGAGAGGGGAGGGCAGGGAAAACAGAGAGAACATCTCAGATCCAGAGGAGGAAAAGCCACTTGTGACCCTGAAGAACGCTGGACTCTGCAACGAGCTCAAGCTGCTGAAGACAGATCCAGCTCTTCCTTGCCCAGACGGTAGTCTCCCCAACACCCCAGAAACAGAGCTGCAAGCTGGCCCGTGGGACCCAACGGCCCTCCTGCAGCTGCCTTCTGAGCTGGGTCTTCACTTCTGCAAGAAAGGAATAATGAGCTCCACCTTATGAGATTCTTGTAAGGGTTAAGAAGATGACTGTGGACAACCAGGAATTTTTAGAGACTCAGTAATTTCCTTGCCCAAGGTCACACGGTGTCCAGGCTAGGGCCAGATCCAGGCCTCTGGGTTCTTGTTCCTAGCCTTGTGTTTGTTCACTAGGCCATCCTGCTCTAAGTGGCCTGACACTCTGTCACTTTATTAATCTACCAGGACAGAGTCACAATCTGGTGATATGAAAGACCATTTTGGTCTCCACGGCATTTGAATTTTTATTTTGTTGCTGGCATTTTTTTTAAGTGGGAAATTACACATAAAAGCACAGATTTGCAGCTTCCCTTGAGAAATTATAACCTCTGCAAATGCTGGGCCTGGTTCCCACATGGAGACAGCTGGCTGGCCTAAGAAGTAGCTGCCTCCCCGGGGCAGGTCCCAGGCCCTCAGCATCTTCCTCCAGGCCTGCTTCATCCACTTCCTTCCCCCTGGGCCCGCGTGCGCGCTTGGATGTGGGACACACAGCCTTTTAGAGGGAGAGCCCTTGGCCTGCCTAGAAGAAGCCAGGGGGCCTCTCAACACCAGAGCCAATGAAAATTGCAAAGTTTCCCTCGAAATGCATCCACGGCGATGAGCAGGCTGGAGATGTGACTTATGAAGAATGAACACAGGAAATGTGCCGACCTTGGCTGAACAGTGACGTGGGCAGAGATGCGCTCCAACCATGGCCTCAGGAAGGAGCGGAGTTGTTAGAGAGAAGCCCAGGGGGGCAACTCAGGGAAACAGAAACTGAGCCGGGGAAATTTTCAGCTGAATTATCAGGAAACTACCTCTGGATTGAACGCCTGCGCAAAGCGGAGGTGTCGACGCAGAGAGGGAGGGGAAAATACCGTTCCTGTTTCTTCCTGATTTCTCAGAAGAGGTCACCAGATTCATTCATTGGGCATTCAGGAAACAGCTCTGCAGAGAAGCTGTGTGGACTGCAGAAGTGGCTCCAGGAGGGGTGACCAGCTGTTCAGCCTTCAGCACACAAAGCGGCAAAGTCAGGGTCACTGGGGCCTGGCCTGCCCTGACATCAAAAATAGAAGGACAGCACTGGGGGTGGATCCAACCTGGCATAAGAGGCACAATGGCTGGAGTATGCAGACAGTGTTGGTGATAGGCATGACCAAGGGATTCTGGTTTTGGAAGAGTAGCCTACTGAATAGGTGTCTCTTTTCAGTTGCAGCAAAAACCCAAGTCAAACTGGTCCATGTGCAAAGGAAAATTGTTGGCTTCCATAAATGATCACTTCAGAGGTAAACTGCTTCAGGCACGGCTGGATCCAGTGGTTCAACTGACATCCTCAGAACCTGGGCTCCCCATCTTCTAACTCTGCTTTCCTCTGTGTTGGCTTCGTTCTCAGGCAGACGCTCCCCTGTGGTGGTAAGATGGCGCCCACCAACTCATCTTCAGATCCCATGAATCCCAGGAGACATCCTGAGGGCAACTCTTATTGGACTAGTTTTGGATCACATGCCAATCCCGCAGCAACCAATCAGGTTGGTGTAGGCATATGGTGCTGTGATCGGCCATGCAACACTTGGGCCACCCATGGCACTAGGGGCAAAGTGGGGGTTCTCCATGGGAATATTAACATGCCATTTCCAGAAGTAGTGGGGATAGAACTGAGAGGGCAGAAAACATGGCAAGGGAGCAGAGGACAGAGAGTGGTATCAGGACCCCGCCAAGCAGGGCTGTCACCAAAGCTCTGAGGACACTCGGTGGGATCTGGAAGACCACCAGTGAGGCTGGCCCGAGTCTCACATTGGACCCCAGCCCCAGGTGCCCCCACGAGCTGATAGGGCTGGGACAGTTAACATTCGGGTCCCTAACGTGGGCTGCCTCGGGGTCTGGGTGAGCCAGCATCTTAGAGGGGTCAATGCCCACTGCCGAGAAGAGCCTAGAGAGGGCAGGATGCTGGGGTTTCAGGGTTCTAAGCCCAGAAGGGCAGGAGGGCACATCCCAGGCACCCAAAGTGTAGTGTCAGAAGGGCATGGATTTCACTCTCCTTGCCAGGGACTGCCTGCCTTAGGCGTGGGCATGGGCACGTGTCCCCGTTCTAGCCCATGACAGGGGCGGGGAGTTGGAGGAAGGAAAGGCCTGGGCTTCTGGACAATATTTTCCTTACTCATTAATAATTTAAATTTTAAAAAATCCCATTTGAAGAAAGAGTCCAGTTTCCACCTTTGGACTGCTTTGAGTCTGGGTGGCACGCAGGACTGGAGCGGGCAGCCAGGCTGCAGCCACACGGAGGAGCTGAGGGTGGCCAGGGAGCCAAGGAGCCAGGGCCTCTCGTGGTGGTGGCGTCACCTCAGGAAAGCCCATCAGGTAATGCAGTCCCCGTACTCGCTTTTGCAGCGGGTTAAGCAGCATTTCTGTTGTCCGGAGCTGAAAGCGGCCTCCTTGACACCAGGACTCAGAGCTGGGATCAGCGTGAACTACGAGTGACAGGGGAACCGGACCGGCTGCTCCAGCTTCCCACGGGCCCTCAGCCAGCCCTGTGGCTTGTCTTACTGAAGACACATCGGTCAGTTTCTGCTGCAAAAAAACTGCTTTTTCCTTCACTTCTAGGTCATGAAGGGAAACCTGTTTCCTAAATAACTTTCTTACCCTGGTTTAAATAAGCCTCCCACAAAATGGCCAGAGACTGACATTTCCTTTCTACACAGTCAAAAAAGAAAGCTACCCACCCGACTGTCCATCAATAGAGGGTAATTAAGTTCATTCAGCTACAGCCATTTGATAGCTGTGTGTGCAGCCGCTAAATTGATGCTGACAGATGATGCTTAAAGACACTGGAGATGCTTTGTATGTTACTATTAAATGAAAGAAAAAAACACAGGTTACTAAACTCTATGTATGCAGTATGATCATATATATATTTTTTAATATGCACGCACATAAAGTAAGACTGGAAGGAAACACTACAGCGTTTGGGTGGTGGAATTTGGGGTAATATTTATTGTTAACTTTATACTTCTGCATATTTTTCAAGTTTTTTACAATAAGCATGTATTTTTTTTTTTTTTTTTTTTTTTTTTTTGAGACGGAGTCTCGCTCTGTCGCCCAGGCTGGAGTGCAGTGGCGCAATCTTGGCTCACTGCAAGCTCCGCCTCCCGGGTTCACGCCATTCTCCTGCCTCAGCCTCCCGAGTAGCTGGGACTACAGGCGCCCGCCACCACACCCGGCTAGTTTTTTTGTATTTTTTAGTAGAGACGGGGTTTCACCGGGTTAGCCAGGATGGTCTCGATCTCATGACCTCGTGATCCGCCCGTCTCGGCCTCCCAAAGTGCTGGGATTACAGGCTTGAGCCACCGCGCCCGGCTAAGCATGTATTATGATTGTAACCTGAGAACTAGGGTGAAGACCCCGAGGACACATTTGGCAACCCTGGGGGAGACACTTCGAGGGAGAGGACAGGAAAATCTTTCATGTTTCCATCAAGATCCAGGGCTCCAAGCACCCACAGATGCCACATCAGGCCAGAGTGAGCGTCTGGGTGTTTCTGGCAAGTGCAGAAGGAAAAGTCAGAAGCACAAGATTCTGGGGTGCAGGAACCTTTCAGGGTGTGCAACAGCCTCCTCCTCTCCCTCTGCCTCTATCAAGTCTACCTCCCGCCAGATCTCTGCGGTTCTCTCACTCAGACCCAGCAGCAGCAAAGCCCCCGTAAAAGATCTGGTGTCAAAGCCGGCCTCGCACAGGCCGATTCCTTGGGAGTCCCTCATACTCAGGGAGTTTGGCACGTGGGAGGTTAATTCTCTTATCAAAACTGTACAAAATCCTAATTTTGCAGAGTGGCAATTTGGGGGGAAAAGAAAACCCAGCAATGGGAAAATGTTGGTTATGCAGCACTCGACATTCAGTTCTCAGGGGATCAATTATAAAAACACTCATTCAGCTATTTCTATTCAAATGAACACCTGAAGAGGAGGCCTCAATGGTTTTAAAAGTGTGTGGATATTACTGGATAAATGTTAGTCCAATAAAAGAGATCATCATCCGCTATTTGTGTACATTTAAGTTGACACTAAAAAGATCTTTGTGGAGTATCGCTGCGGCTGCTTCTTTTTCTGCATGCATCTTTTTATCTCCTATTCCCTTAACACTTTAGCAACTGAAGAAAACAGACCAAATGTGGCTGGTCATGGTTTTCTTCTTCTTCTCCTTCTTCCCCCAAGATGAAAGGGACACGGGTGTTGGGAAGGCCACACCTGAAGTGGGCAGCCGGGTTGCTCACACTTATGAATATGTAATGTCCTGCTTGGAGGCACAGTCACGAACTCCTAATAAGAATTCACGAGTCTGTGTTTGAAAACAGACATTTGCATTTGCCCTGCGGTCATAGTACATGGACCATTCTTATTCAAAAATTTATTTTTTTTCCTTCTTCTTTTTAAGGCCTGGAAATATTCTATGCCCTCTCTCCCCACCAACACACACACACACACACACACACACACACACACACACCCCTTTCTTTCTACGTTCTCTTTAAATGGAAATTAAGATACGGAAGCCCAGAAAGCTCAGCAGCCCCCTCTCCTGCAGCCACTGGGCCTGGGGCAGGCACTGCAGCTCCCAGAGAGATGGAGAACCCTCCAACCCTGCTTCAAGCAGATACTAGTTTTCTCTCAAGTCCAAGAGCTTTCTTGGTCCAGAATGAAATGCAGAATTTTTAAAAAGGGGAGCAAAACAACATGGGGAGACTATGTTGAGGCTCAACAAGCCTGCTAAAGTGAAGCCAGGGTATAATCTACTTGGCAGCTGTAGGAACCTGCCTGGCCCAGGGCTGCGACACTGTGCCCCGAGTTCCTGGGGGCAATTTGGTGGTGGCAGGCATTTCCTGGTCAGTGGTTGTGGTTTATGCAGCTAAATTTCCTGCAAAAATAGCACCCCACCAGTCCTTTTAAAAACACTTTAAAAAGGGGGCCTTTTTTGTCTGTGACTCCTGAACCTCTAAGTCATTATTAATGTCTAGAGGGCAAGGGTGCCACCATTTGAGGTACAAGGAACAGAGCATCAACACCCCATGTTTATTTGGGTCTCTCCTCCTCTGCAGCTTCCTCAATAAAGCACAAAGCTCTTGGCCTCTTCTACCCAGGGGTCCCCGCCCTCCCTCAGTCCTCACAGGCCCCCCAGGCCGGCCACACTGACTGCATGGACGTGGCCGCACTCAGCCTCCCTGCACCCCTCCTTCCTGAGGGGTTGGCCAAGGTTAAATGCTGATCCCACAAACGTCCGGGTTTTGAGCATTCCTTCTAATTACAGGTGTTCAGAGAGTCATCTGCGTGCCTTGTGAAAACGGCGCTTTCTTGGGGCCAGGCTGTGGTCAGTTAGTATCATCTTTACTTTAGCTATGGGTGGGCAATGTCTACACAGCCAGGGAGGCACAGTGTAAGACGAGGGAGTGCTGCGCCCGTTCCGGGGCTCCCTCAGCCGGCCAAGCTGCTAGCCAGGAAGATTCCTTTGCGGCTGCCCAGGGGCCGGCCCAACCAAGCCCCCATTTCAGGGCTAACAGTGACACCTGCAGTTTAACCTGCCACATGTCACTCTGCGGGACAACTGCCCTGGGAGGGGGCTGAGGGACCTTGGGCCACTCAGCCACCACTGCCCTTGCCAGGGGTCCCCAGGGAGAGAGCTGAGGAGACTGAGTTCTCTGGGCGTGGTGTAGGAGCCAGACAGAGGGCAGATCTACCTGCTGTTCTGGGAGGAGGCCACAAGGCAACAGTTTCTAGCCCTGAGACTCCAGAACCCAACACCTGTGCCTGTTGCTCTCCCCACTCAGCCACCAACCTAAGAAAGCCAAGGCCATGGGAACTTGCTGGGTGGGGAGGCAGCAGGGACCAGAGAACACCAGTTGCCATAGGAGCAGCATCTAAACAGGTTTTACTGAGAGCCAGCTCTGTGCGGCACTTTCTGACCTTCCCCCTGCTCCTCTCAGCAAGGCGTGACCACCTGACCCAGTGCCCTCGCTTTACAGCCCGGAAGACTGAGGACCACAGAGGGCAGGTGGCTTAGTCAAGGTCATCTAGGGGGATAGCACCTAAGTCTGGTCTCCCGCCTCTGCCTACCTGCAGGACAGTGCTCAGGACTGCCATGGCGACATGCTCAGGACTTGATCAGGCGACATGCCCTTCCTGGCGTGGTCACCATGGGACAATGCGTGCACAGCTTTCCGTAGACCATCTCCTCAACACCACCACCCACCCTCCCCCAAACACACTCACGTGCTTGCACACAGGCATGCACGCTGAGAAAAGACAGTAGGTCCAATATGAATTATCTGAATCCAGCCCCAGCTCCCAAGGCATGGCCCCAACAGCCGCGACTCCATTTCCTCCCCTGCACTCGCTCACAGAAATCTGAGAGCCAGGACACAGGGAGTTGGGAATGAAAATGAACCGATGCAAAGATTTCTTTATAACTTTTCTCAATATTCTGCTGATTGCTAGCTCAGTAGCAGATGTGGTGTGCTTAATGATGCATAGACAAGCAGCAGCCCCTGATCCCTAAATGAACTTCTTATCTCTAAATATATACAGGGAAGGCTATATAAACTCAATTTAGCCCCTCTGCTCTTCCAGCTACCCTGATCGAGGAGTGGAAGGAGAGAGTGGGTGCCTGGAAGACCTGGCAGGGGCAGACAGAGGGCAGGGAAGAGAAGGTGGGGAGGCTGCAGTGGCGTCCGGCCATTGTGCTCCTGGCTCCCCAGTGACTGAGCTGGCCACACAGACAGGCAGCCCACCTTCCTATTTCCCAGGGTGAGGGGGTGGTTTGAAGGGGTTCCTCCTGAGAAAACCTTCAGTGGCAGAAGCAGCAATAGCAACAAAAACCTTCACCAGCAAAACCTCTATTTAGCCATTTCCATTAAACATGCCGCATCTGTATGTAGCAAGACTCAGCAAGTTCTTAGAACTCAAGTTCTCGGTAAAGGGGTTAAAAGCACATTGGCCCTGAGCGTTCCTCGCTTGGTGGCATCCACTGTGTGCAGGTGCTAGGCCAGAGTCCCAGGGAGGACCCAGGGTCCAGCAGGGACAGATGTGAGTTCCAAGTGCAGGTGTGTGCCAGAGGCAGGCACACTGGGCTGCAGGAACACAGAGGGGAGCCCTGGATCCTTCTCTCTGCACCTCCCACCCCCAGGAATGCCCAAAGGGCAGAAGAAACAGCAGGTGCGAAGGCTTAGCAGGCAGGAGAACGCCAGGCCTGCTCAGGAGCTGCGGTAAGTCTGGACACGGGATGATGGGTGTAACAGAGAGCCCAGGGGCAGGGGAAGCAGGACCTCCGACACCATGTAAGGAGCCTGACCTTCATCCTGCAGGAGGTGAAGGGGATGCTCGGCCTAGTTCTAGGTCGCTGCTGATACATAAAAGCTGCCGCCGCCATGCTGAGTGGATGGGCAGGAGGGCGGGGGTCGGGTTCAACACTCAAGTCCCAGAGTTCCCAAGAGGCCAGCCCAGGGCCTGGCCAAGTCACTTCAAATAGCTGTTTAGCCCAGATGGCCTGTTAATCTTGAAGGAAACCCAAAGAAGCACAGAGACACAGTTGAAATGGGAGTAAGAGCACCCAATGCCCATCCACAGCCAAAGGAAAGCTTATGCATATGCAACATGGGCCCACTCTGTAGGCTTTTCCATTAGCCGCGTGGAGATGCCGTGACCAGGTTGGGGGAATCTATATTTCACCTTACGTTGCACACAGCTGGGCTCAGACTGGCACCAGTGTTAATATGCAAACGACACAGTATCTGTATTCATCAGGGCTCTGAGAAGCCAGGATCCTTCTCTTCCAGAGCAGCAAACAAAGAAAGGTGGGTGGGGCATGCCAGAGGGGGCGTGGCTGGTAGGCAAAGACCAGGCAGGAAAGAGGCCACTGGAATGGGAGGAGACACCAAATTATGTCACATCAGTTTTGGGGGGTGGGGAACATTCTCAAAGAGGAGACTCAGAACCCAAAGGGTTTTGGAGCCAGAAGTTCCTCCTCCGCCTAATGGTCTCATTTAATTGA